ATACTTACACTGCGTGCTTGCATACCCATCACTTGCATACTTACACTTGCATACTTTGACACTTGCATACTTTGCACTTGGATGCTTTCGCTCTTCCACTTACACTGTGGTGGAAGTGTCAGTGTGTAAGTGTAAGTGTCGAAGTGTCAGTGTATGTAGTGCAAATGTGGTGGAAGTGTCAGTGTCGAAGTGTCAGTGTTCAAGGGATTGTCCGGAAGAACCCTTCGCAATGCTTTCGGGAATATACATATGTATCCTAATTCTCCCTACTCAAGAATCTGAAAAATATGTAACATCTAGGAACCATCATAAAGGCTTCGGCTTAGGCTTCTTCAAGGAAGCTCCCCTTGGGCATCAAAAACAACATAATCAATAATCACAGCCCCTGTTGTCAGTTGTAGTGTTTGTCCGAAACACATAGGGAGGGCAGTGTGGCTGCAGGACAGGTCTGTCCGAACTATCACTCATTGAGCTGCTGCATGTGGTATTGGGCACATTGAGTGTCCAGCAGCCACAAAAATGGTGAGCACTGCCCCAGCAACTGGCAACACGACCTGCAAAATGCATGGAAATATACAAACACACAGACATATAGACCGTCTTTCTCATGTCTCAAGCTTGCTCCCAGCGCCTCACTGCTGGAAAACAGAATCCAGGGTTGTACAACCGACGCCAAAGTCAGCAATCCAACAACTGAGAAGGTACGAAACCAGGAGCTCCGAGTGTACCTTGCACTGCAAGAAGCACAGGGACAAAATGTGACTTGGCATCTCAATACGCGTGCCTCGTCAACGAACGGATTTCATTCAAATTTGCCTGAACGCTTCTCACTGCCTGACGGAAGGTTTTGAGAAACGCATGGGCTCATGTGGGCTCAAGGCGCTTCCAAGTGTTCATGTCACCGAACCTGAACTGCCGGTGCTGGTTTGTAAGCTTCAGCGGGACTGCGATCTTCCCAAATCTTTTTCAGCCTATTCTGCTCAAAGGCTTTGAAAGAAAAACAGGAGACGACAGGATGGACAGCCTCCGTGGAAGCCAAGGATTCGACAAGCAATGTCGCACACTTCAAGTCGAGTCTAGTCGCACCAACTACTCCGCCTTTGTTTCATTTTGAGTGTGGTATGTATATAGTTACTGTATACATGTATACATATACTTCAAACCTTGTCTCCTTCGGAGGGGAAGGTAGGCTGTGGGAGGAGGGAAGCTTGAACCACTAGCAAGTAGCGCTTTGTAGCAAGGACGCACAAGCTGGAGAAGCTTGATTGAAGACCCCTCGCTGTAAGAACCAGTTCCTAGATTTTTATAGATTTTTAGGGAAATAAGTTCATCAAACCTTCCGCCAGACTCATCCACTTTGCCTCACAGCTCCTCGAAGTGCTCTGTTTGCCACGTTCATAGGAGAAAGTGCTTCAAGCACCGAAATTCTTCCCGTTCCTTTTGGCCTGAGAACAGCACGAATTGAATGCTTGTTTCTGCAATCTGCACGTGCCTGCCTCAAAGACCGCTCAGGACGATTGGAGGAATCGGACATTGAGCGCAATCGTGCCCAAGGTTCGACCTGAAGCAAAAGCCTGCTTTTTGCAAGCTATGCACAACATCAGCCGGCCTTGCGCAGAACTTGCATGTCCATGAACTCCTGGGCAAACAGCGAGGGTGAGAACTAAAGATGTTGGTAGCAAAACCATAGAAACAAACAAAAACATATCAAAACTGGATCTATTTTGCGCAAATACTCGAGGACAGTCTGAAAGCACCCTAAAGTAAGGTACAACTTCCAAGACAATTCTCAAAAGAAAAGGGCACACAGGCACACAAGGTACCAAGTGGAATTAAAACCATAACACCCTGGGAACATAGGCTCATACGCATTACTTTGTGCAAAAGAGTCTCCTCCTCGAGCTTGGCAGAAGCTTGCTGGGATTGCCTCGCGGGAAAGGAATTAAAATCAAATAACGCTGGCTGAAAGAAAGCCTTGATTGACGACTTCAGGAAACCTATGGTAGTCAACTTTGGAGAGACCTCTGCGCAAACACTAAAGCAATGGTCCCGACAAACTGCGACATTCGAAAACTTTGGTTCAAGAGATGAGACGAGGTCAGTCAGATCAGAATGAAGAAAATGGCAGGAAACAAAAACACTCGAATCACTTGAGCTCCGATCAATCTGGTACCAAGGTGGAATGAATGGGTAAGAAGAGCATGCAAAGAAAGATACTGTAAAAGAGTGGGTGTGGCGAGATTGAGAAATTTCAGGAAAGCTCAACTGTTCTGGAGCAGTCAATTAGATGAGAGAACGCAGTGAAGAAGCAAAACTGAGGTATGATGGGAGCAGTGTTGGGATGAGACATGGCTGAAAGATCAGGGCCTACGTGGTCTGAAGTTGGAGCAGCGTCATAAAGTAAGGTAAAATGGAATTTGGCCAATGAACTGGGATGAAATGGAGTTAACACCAATGAATTGAGGTGATGTGGAGGACAAACCCTACGTCTCAACTCTCTCTGCTTTTTGGAGGGAAGCCAATCTCAACCTTGCCAATCTCAACCTTGCCAATGTGTGTCTCCTTTCAGCCCCGATCCCACCATTTCCTTTTAGGCTAGATTCAATCATTTGACTGTCGGTGGCAACGTTATAGCACGCTAACCAACAAATACTTTTGTTCCACCACCACTTCTCAATCAATCTTGATGGAAGGACGAGCCTGTTCAATTGCAAAGAGCGTACAAAGACCGCTGCTCCGAAAGCAGGGAATAAGGCACACCTCAGACCAAATCAAATGCCTGCAAAATGTCCAGGATGGCAATCAAATGAATCCAAGGAACACGGGAAGAGAGTACTCGACCAATGCAGTCGCCATCAACGTGCTCACCTCACGGCAGAAGTTTTGAAATGTGCAGTTCTGGAAATCTTGAAGGGCTTCCCACCCACTCAGGCGTCCACAACAGCAAGAGAAGTCCGGGCTGGTAAAGCTCGTGCCGAGAATTGGGCCAACTGTGACCATGCATCCGCAGTCGCCACCACACAGCCTGCCCTTGCAAGGCTACCTGGGGTTAGCACACTTGTTGAGGCAGATTAGGCTCCATGATCCAAACCACAAACGCCCATGGAACCTTGTAAAAACCTCAATGGGATTCATGTGCACAGCACCCTTTGTGAGTCTACGTATATCTGATCCAATCTCCAAAAACCAGTGTCTTAAAAGCAATAGTAATGAAGGAATGCATTGACCTCCCTCCCCCGCCTGTTGCATTTGCCAACTGTTGGGAGCTTTCAGCCATCCCCAACGCAATTTCAGCAGCGAAAGTAGCACACGCAATGGTAGCTCTGGAACAAAGATCGCAAGGGAAGATTGCAGAAAGGAGAAGCGGAAGAATCCAACACCTCCTGAGCTCAAGCAAAATGCAATTAGCACTTATATACATTCATTTTACCATTTGCGTTGGTCTGTTTCCACATTGAGGTGTTTCGCGTCGAGCAGTGGCATGTCTCAAAAGCTTCTGGTGCTCTAGGACCATAGTTGGCTCAAGCTGAATTTTAAAAAAAGAACTGAAAAGCTCACAGATTGCCAACCCAGCTCTTTCCACTGTTTGCTCTTGGAGTGACTGTAGTTTCCTCTGGGGAAAATCAGATTTTACGGAAGGTCCAGTGAATTCAGTAGGTCAGTGACAGAACTTGAAAGGATCCTCGGTCGATCAGACCTTGAACAACAACAACAACAACAAGAAGAAGACAAGAAGACAAGAAAACAAGAAGAAGAACAACTGCAACTTCTTGCAGTTGGGAGGCTGCTTCCAAGTTCGAGCACGAACTCGTATTGGCTTTGCATCAACGCATCTCATGGAAGCCGCCACATATCTTTCAACTTTTCGTCTCCGATGCATGGCTACTAAACATGCCATGTATGCTGGGATGACCGCCAGCATTGCAAGGAACTTCCACCATGCAGACAAATTCATTTCAGCAGACAGCACAGTTGCAGTTGTTGCCAAAGTGGCTATTGCCACATCTGTAGGGAAAGCTGCATATGCAAGTTGTGCGCGCCCGAGTAGGGTTTCTGCTTGGGCCTCCTTGGTCAAGAGGAATGCTGTCTGCCTTTTTGCCACTGCAACCGCTCCTTTCCCAGCTGTTTCCTGCCAAGCAGTCGCCAGCCCAACCGTTCCCGTTGCCAGCGGCAGCAACAGCTCAGCGCCGACCCTGCCCAGAAGTACAGGTGACGCAGCACTGCCCAAAACAAACATGCCTGCCACTGGCACCCAGCCACCTTGCACCAAAGTCTTTTGGATTGCTTTACCCTCATCCGTTAATGTCTGGAGGAACCTCTGCAAGTCTTGTTGAGCAGCTTCGAAAGGATCTTGCTTCTCTTGATGTAACGAGGGAGAACCGGCTGAAGGACACAGGACGAGAACGTTTCTCGTGACTCTACCCGAAGGACCGAAGGACGATCCGAAGGACTGGGAAACCATGCCAAGTTCCGCAGCAAGTAAATGAACCTTTCGCCGTTGATCCCTGGACAGTCCGCGAAATTCTCTTGTCTCACCAACCGATAGACCCTTCAATGCAATCCGAATGTTCTCAGAAAGATCATCTGCTGAAAGATCACGTTGAAGTTGCTGAAATTCGCTGATGGCTGCTGAGACAGTGTCCACATTTGCTTCCATTCCCTCAAGTGCACGCTTGGAAGCCTCATTCTCAAGATAGGCAGCATCAGCTTCAGCTCGCGAGGTCAAGGCACTCACAGTCGAATAAAAAGTACTGGCAACCTCAGAGTTCAAGTTGTTCGTTTTCCGTGGAAAATGAAAGCATGATGTATCATGAAGTCCAGACCACCATTTGCAAGAAGTAGTGACATCGAAAAAACAGCACACCTGGTAGAAAGGGAATGCTGTTCTGCAAATAAAGGTGCGAGCGCACAGTATGAGCACACAGTGATCCCAACTCAGGTCGTCACAGCTGGCCACAAAGCCCCAGATGATAAGGTCTTGGAGAACTCTGCAGCTACAGAGGCAAGCCCTAAGCTGGTAGCGCTCATCGCACTGTTTGGAGCTAAGACTGCTGCATCCGCTTGTGCCTGACACAAGAAGACTGCCAGGAGACCCGCTTGCCTATAAAATATCTTTACATCCAAAAAATGAACAGCCTGTGCAAAAAAGAGCTCAGATAGAGCAGCTTGTCGTGATTGGGCAGCTATCCGCCGTTCTGCATCAGCAAAAGACTTTTCTGCAAGCAGGAAGCCTCAATGCAAATTTGCCACCGCAGCCACCATCTCTACAGCACAGCTCAGCAAACTCCAATAAAGGATTTCATAGACGCACAAGAATCGACCACCACGTCCCTAAGAATCGAGCTAAACGCTGTCTGTGCTGCCGCACTTGCGGACACAATCACTGCGACTTCATCTGCTGCCGTCATAAGGCTTTGGGTCGAAGGATTCTGCTCAAACCTTGACTTGAGAAGAATTCAAAACAAAATGACAAAACACAATTCCCCCAATTCCAGCTCAAGGCACAAGAATAGGGGAACGAAACACAGGACAATGCTGAGAAAGGCCAACAATACTCGTGCACGTAGCCCAACCTAGGCCAATTAAGCGTGCAGCAATTGCGCATCGTGTTTCAGCTCTGCCTCGATCTCACCGTCCTCCATCTCTCTAATCACTTCGTTTTCGTCCTCGTCCTCACATATATGACACTGACTTTTCTATAAGCCGCCAAAGCAACCATCTCATGTAATGCGTGCTGCAGGCTAGAGCTCCTGCAACGGGTTGCGCAATTGTGGGCGCAGCTTTGAGATGACTAGCCTCAGCTATGAATTATGTTGATGGAGGAGTCAAACATCAGCTCAATGCAAGCACAAGGCAGAGCTTGGTCATTCGTTGCCGCAGCTCCAACAACCTCATGTTCACCAAAAATACAAGCAATTATATAAGACTTGCAGGAAAATATGTGCATTTTAATCTGCAAAGAAGCATCTTGTTCCAAAAGCTCAAGTAAGCTAAACACCAAGCCCCATTTTCATGTTGCAATAGGCAACAGAGGGTTTTCATCTTCCAGCAAGCCACTGAACCGAAGCAGAACAACCACCCGAGCATAGCTGGAAAGCCTTGGACAATCCAGCACATCGCACAAAAACGCTAATAAAAGAAAAGCCTACACAAAAAATAAGAAAAAAAATAAGAGCCCTGCTGTCTGCTCTCGAGGGCCACCCAAGCGTAGGTAATGCGGATCCTAGATTGGCTGGATCTTCTTCAAAAATCTTCAAGGTGACCTCGCTGTGATCTCTGTGCGATCTTGCAAATGCTTGCAAAAAGTCTTGTCATGTGAGGGCCAAGAATCACCCCGTTTGCGCCAAGATGCACAAACTGCAGCAAAAATTGCTGTACATCCAGCCCCAAAGGGCAGCAAAGCCTTGGGAACTTCTGCAACAGCCAATTTCCTCTCCTGACAACGTCAGGGTTGAGATTCCAAACGCATTGAAATGACAAAAGTATGGCACTTTGCTCGTGGCAAAAATTGCAAACACCAGAAACTCATCGCAGGTTGTTCAAGTATTCGCGGGTCCTGTTCCGCTGCGTCCGCAAGAGCCTGCGAGAAGCTGCATCGGCCAAGTCCAAGAGACTTCCTTGAACATTTAGAGCAAGTCTGATAAATGACATATTGTATATATCAAAACTGTGAAATGACTCGTTCTAAATCCTCTTCTTGTGTCAATGAAATTAGTATTGCTCTGCTCGGTACATTTCTTGCAGCACAGTATCGTTCCGGAGCTTTCGGCCACTGATGTGTAAGAAAAAATTGCCTCGATCCAGGATGAACATTCGAAACTAACGGCAAAACCTTTCACTTGAATGAGGCAAAGTAAGCAGAGTGAGAGTAATCTGGGATACGATGTGATGCGGAATCGCTGTGTCAAATATTTCCACCCTCAGGATCTGACACTGGCAATTACAGGTAGTGCAGCTGTACCAACCCAGGCAGTGTGGGCAAGAGTTGCAAGTGCTGCTGCCGATAAGACCTGAAAACACATTGACATAGGCATAGGCAACATAGTTATATACATAAACCAAAACATCCTTCCTTTGATGCCAATTCAAGCTGTCTAGGTCAGCTTGTGAGACCCAGGCTGAAAAAATTGTACCGCCTGTGACCAGAGGAGCTTCCTCGCGCAATGCCTGAAGAAATGCGGTAGTTTCTAATAAATTGTCCAAGGTTTTATGGAATCCTGGAATCAATCTGTTTCAATAACAGCCTGTTGCTCACGGAGGATGCTTTCAATTGCTGATCTGAGCCGGCGCGAATCTTGTGAAGCGTCCTCACTGTCAGCAGGTAAAAAAACGGTAAAAAAGAAATGCCCGAAGAAATTCGTCCTGAAATCACATCAACTTCAAGAACGCCAAATAAGTCAAAAAACAAACGGAAATCTCTCGACTAGTTTCAGACCACGCAGGCAAGGCGGATAATTCTTTGTTCTCTGCTTGCTTGCTGCCGGTCCTGACGCAAAGAAAAAACTGACGGGAAGGATACAAATTTGTCAGCGGCAAACCGCACCTCTCGCCCTTTCCGAATGGCAAAGGCACAAATGTTTGCTGAAAGCATAGCAACCCAGCAACACCTGCCCAACGCAACCCATTGCGAGGCAAGATTATTCAAAGTTGTAGGTCCAACCCATGGGACCATGATAGGTTCAAAATGTGAAGAAATGAGCCTGCGACGAAGCATGTCCTGAAACGCCTGCGTTGCATTGGCGCGGCGGTGTGCTATTCTTTGGCACCTGAAGCTGTAGGCTGGTCAAATTGCCAAACATTGTGTCGATTCTCTTCTGGGCACACGGCCCCAACAACGTGCTGGGCAAAGCCATGACTCAGGATCAAAATTGTTGGTAGATACAAAAAATATATCACAGTATATATAGAATATTATTTACATACATGTGCGTCCACATGTTGAGTCCGGAGTGTCAAGCGACATGTTGCGAAAGAGTCTCTTGCTGCCTTGGGACTCAAGGAGGGTGACCTTGTGTTTGATTCATCACTTCCACCATGTTCAACGGTTGTGGAGGTTTTCCGGGTCTATAACTGTTGCTGTGACATCCAATCGAAATGTTTTGCAAAAGTGGTTGGGTGGCAGAATCTTGTTTCTACTAGTTTTTTGTTACTACTAGTAAGGCCCTTGCTCCTAGTAGAGATGCCCTTTGCTCCTAGCTTCTTGTTTGCCACTTCACCTGATTCCACCAAATTCCTTGGAAGTTGTCCAGTCCCGAATGTGTGGTTGTCAATTGTTCGGAGCACTTCCCTGTGGCAAATGGGAGCCAGTTGGCTGCAAAACACATGCAAGTTGCAAAGAAGCCTGCATTAGCAGTTGGAAACTCGAACATTTCCCCGAAATGGTTCCATTGCCTGCTAACCCTTTTTGAATCGAAGATTTGCGTGGCATTCACTTACAAACGTCCCCAATCCGCACACACATAAAGATGTGTGTTCCATTCTTACGACCATCATGCCTTCGCTTGGGGCACTACAAATGACATGAGAGAGCCTCACGTGTTGTCGCGCCACTGCTGCCCGTTTGATTTCAACGCATGCACGAACGCAGTGTGAATCCTCTGAAAAATAGAATGATCAAGTGCCTTCACACGCAGTTCCAGCATTCTCAAAATCATCCGAAGCTGCAAAAATGCATTGTTGCCTACGCTGAAAATGATGGCGCTCTGTTTTCATGCCTGCGATTGGGCCTCGATCGAACATGCATCCATGATACCAGTGCTCCACGCAACCATGTGTGACCTCTATGGGTCATTGATTGGAATACCTCTAAATGCTGTCTCCCCTGATGTATTGTGATAGCATTCTCCATTGGAAATGACACATCATTCTTGCCGCTCAAGCTGGTTCCTTGCCGGCTTCACGCGGCTCAACACCAATTGGTTTGCTTCTGCTTTTACTTCAGTCACATGGGCCTTCCAGAGATCTGCTTTTGTTTGGTTCGCTTTAAATCATCAAGTAGTTTCTTGATCTCTCTGTCTTTCTCATCCGGATCTCGAATTGTTGGAAGTGCCCTCACAGGACTGAGACGCTTGCCGAAAGCCGAATACCGTGCTTTTGGCTCAAGAGCAGGACTGTGATTCCACTGCTAACGCACAGTATCAGACCCGCCTTGCTGCAGAGGACACATGTTTCTTAAGTTGCAAGGGCCGAAAGCTGAAAGAGAACAGCTTTAGGGTTGCCTAGAGGGCCTAGAGTGCCCCAGTTTTGCATGGGCCAGCAAACCAGGGTCTTGTGCGGGTCAGACACCAGAAGCAGGCAGTTTACCTTTTTGTCCACAGCAAGGAACTTCTGCACGAGTTTTACAGACGAGAGACGTTTGGAATGATCGCTTGCAGCTGAATGACTCATGGAGAGTTGAAAACATTTTTGCGGAAATAAGTTCTTCAGACGGAAGCTGTCAGTCCGTGGCAGTCAGCACGGAGCTTTGGACTGCACCAACAGGTGACCCGAGCTGTTGGGCACAAGGACTTCTGAACCAAGTTCAACAAGGTTGGAAGTGTGGACACCAGCAAGAAGAAGCACCACCTGTGATGGCATGGTGCTCAGGTCGGAGCTGGATGTGTTTTCGACCCAAACTTGTGGCAATGGTGATTGCAATGACATTGCTGCAGGTTAGAAGAGGAGGGACAACAGAGATGAGGATCATGAAGATGATTTATGGTGTAGCCGGATGAGTGTCACTGTGTTGTGCCCGGCAGTTGTTGGGGCCTTGAGTCTGGCACGATGAGGGCATGAACAGTGGCAACTATGGCGACAGAAGCAAGAAGAAGATGAAAGAGAGAAGAAAAGATGGAGAGCGCAGCCAGAAGAGATTGCAAAGGAGGTGGACGAAAAGAGAGTGAGGCTGCAGTGGGCAGTGAGTGATTCAGGCTGAAGCAGCCTGTGCAGAGTTTGAAGAGCGAGTGAAAGATGTCAAAGAAGAAGAGGAAACATGGAGAAATGAAGAATTGAAACACATGGACATCAATGTCGACCTAAGAGGTGAGATCGAAGTGTTGAAAGAAAAGTGTGAGAAGGCTCAACAAGAGGTGGCAAAGCATGAAAACTTATGTTGGGAGTCACGTGGTCAGCAAGGAACAGACGTCCATGACTCTGTCCCCTACTCCTTCCAAAGAGAACGAAAGTTTGTCTAAGCTAAGGAAACAACTACTGAGCCTTCCAAGACCACTTTCAAAAAATCAAGAAACTATGTACAGTATACATTTTTGTAAGACATGGTTGAAGCTGTAACCCTTCCAAACACCAAAAAAGGACCCAGAACACAGAGAGGCACCACTCCAACAAACTAAAATCCCTATACAGAGGTGTAAGTGGTGAGCCATTCTCCTCACCCTACCATTTTCACACCCCTTCTTGGGTCACTACTTGCACTACCTCCACCGCTATCTACCTCTGCTGTCTTCTGCCTTCTTCTCTCTCATTCGTTTTCAACCAAGCTCATCAACTAAGATCCCAGCCTTGGTCTCCAACGGTCGTCAACGACAATCCAACAAGCTTCAAACCAAGCAACGCAAGAAGCAACAAACATTTGCAACGATCTGAAGTCACATGGTTCGACTTCTTCACCCAACACGTTTTACCACTAAGATTTTTGAACATGTTCAAGACAGAAGGCAACTGACAGGCAACGAAGCAGACGCACCTGCAAAAGCCCAAACTCCAAACTATGTTTTTCGGAATTCTAAAAAAATTGGCATCGTTGCGAAGATATTGCGTCGCCCATTTGCAATCAACATTCTTGCATTCATCAACACAAGCTCCATAAAACCCTGCATTGTTGCAACATCAAAGTTGAATCCAAATTTCTTGCAATGTCCTCAAGACGCCTCAAGAACCCTTTTTGTTGGTCACCCAACGGCAGTCACACGACACGAAGATGCCTGTTCCGGGACAGCAAACTCACCGGCTGTTGAACATGTCTCCAGCTTCCATCTTTGCCAAGTTCCACACCTCTTTCACCACACCTTCAAGCTTCTCCAGTTTCCTTCCACACACGAACGCAACGCTTCCCACAGCTCACAACAGTGTTGGTCGCTTGGCTGTCAGCTGCACAGACGCAACTTGCACCTCGTTTTCTTCGTCATCATGAGCAAAGTTCCCGCTCTTTTTGCATGAAGTCCAATCTAGGACGTTTCTGGTCCTTGGTTTCAGAAGTGTTAAGCTCACAACAGGCTCATGGCACTCGATGAGTCCGGTACACTCCAAAACTCGTTCTCACACTCTCGAAACTCTTCAAGCAAACAACAACTCAAGCTAACGCACTGCACTCCCTTGCGCCCTTTTACTCACAGTTGAGCCAAAGAGTAACAGTCATGTCAAAGACTGTACATATGCGAACTACACACAAGCAACTCTTTACAAAAAGCTTCTAAACACTCGAAAACGCTAAAAAACTCTATTAAAACTTCAAGAAACGAACTACAGTGTTAAAGTCCGGTTGTCTCCCTTTCTGAACACGAACCAAACAACACAAACAAACAAAGCAACAAGCACGAGCGAGGTGGCCATCCAACAAATGGATTTTTCACCCCCTCTTGGACATTTCGCTCGGAACAACTGGCTGACATTAAGCCTTCTTATTCTTCTTCAGTGAGGACAGACATTTCGAACACAAGTCTTTCGACATTGGTGCGACCATGCCTGAGCAAGATGGATTGAAATGAACCTTGCTCCCACTCGCAGGGAAATAGACGCTCTCACACTGCAATGGTGAATCACTCACCGTGATAGAAGGTTCCTTCTTCAAACGACTCTGAAAATCAGCATGCTCACAACGCCGACTCAGACAGCAGCAGGTCAGCAGTCTGCCACAAATGACTCCCGCTGCAAAGACCATAGCGGCCGCGGCTTCCAAGCTAAGCGCAGCAAGCATCGTGAATCGTTCCCACATCCAGGGCCATCATCATACCTCAGGACGGTATGAGCGAAACATCAAGGCTGCGCTTACCACATGCTTGATCCAAGATACGAAGTCTCGTCTTATGAATTTCTGCAAAAACGTGCCATTCTGGACTCGAAAAATGCATGACTCTTACGCGGTTAATTCGGCTTTAAATCCTTTAAGGATTAGCTCGCAAAGCTTCTTGGGATAGTGCTGTGTCTCTTTCCAATTGACATCTCTGGAAGGCAAATGTTCATGGTGACCATCACAGACACAGACCTTGAGACTTTCAAGCAAAAGGGTACTATCAGTATCTATTCTCCAGGACTTCTTGACCAATTGACTCTTCTGCATCAAACCGACTGAACACGCTTCAACGAAGGTGGAATATAGAGCTCTCTTTCTCAGGAACTCTTTCGTCTGATTCCATCCCCAATAAGCGCATCGCTTTGGCCGTTGAATCGCTACGAAATCAGCTACTTCTGACAAACGTAGAAAACCTTTCCAAAGCTTCTTTTGGGCTCGATACAACTCTCGAAGATGACTCATGTAATCCTGACCATGCTTCTTCAAACAAATGTATTGAAACGGACATCCACCGGTACACGGAATCGACGACCATAAGACAACAAACATCGACTCTCTCATCTCTTCGATCGTATCCGTACGGGTTCCGTCATCTGCCTCCGTGATCGTCAATACCTCAACACCTTCCAATCGTTCTCCTCGAGCTTTCACCTTGGATTCCGGTGACGCGCAGAACTCAACGATCACAAGACTCTTACACGAAACCTTCTCTAAGATCCAACACCACCGATCCGATCCAATCATAAGCAATTTCGATCGTATTCAGAAAACCTCGAACAACTCCGATCTTCTCCACGCGCTGCAACGTGACTGCTCTCGATAACGCCTTGGTCATCAGATCGGCGCAATTCTCTGTACCTCGAACAAATGCG